TATAGTGAAGGAGACTTCCGTTTCTTTACATCACTTCTGTATTCAAATTTTTAAACCCTTTCATAACCTTATTGAGTGTTTTTTAACTAAATTGACATGGCTCGAATGGACCTCCCAGTTCCTGTGGAAATCACGTACAGGAGCGTGAGATTCCTTATTACACACAACCTAACCAGTGCAACCTTAAACCAATTTATAAAGGAACTCAAGAAGTTACTGCCACTGGACTGGACTGCCTGCTGCAGCCGTAGTTCAGGACAATTGGACCCATCCCTGACAGCCACATCAAGGAGGTCTCCACAGCTAGTCTGTAATGATGGAAGTTAGTGAGCTTCAATTAACAGGCCTTGGAAACAGCTTAAATATGAGGGAGAGGGATACAGAAGATTGCAGGATTGCTCCAAAGTTAAGAGCCAGAAGGCATTGGAGGACAATAGTAGGGAGAGAGTTCAGAGAAAAAAGAGAATGATTCCCAATTTGAATGTACTGAACTTAAGCTATCCATTGGACATTTAATTCAAGATATCGAAAAGACAGTTGGTGATATAAGATGTGTGAGGTAAGCAGAGAGTTTGGGCCAGGACAGGTAAATCTGAGAATCATCAGCAGAGAGATGCTTTGTAAATCCTGGGAACTGATAAGATAACCATGTGCAGTAATAGAGTAGGTTAGTGACAGATCCCTGAGGGATACCTACAGCTAGACAGTGTAATCTGAAGAGGATGCGGCCAGGTTAAAAGAGAAGGATTAGTTAGGAATGGAAAAGGAGAATAGAGGAAACATAGTCCCTAAAGCCTAGAGAGAAGAGAACACCAAGGTGGTGAGAGTGATCAACAGTGTTAAAAGATGCAGAGAAAAAATAGGAAAATGAGGAGAAAGAGTTAAATAAATACTCTCAGGCTCATAATGTAATAAACTGAAAGAAAGAAACTGAAGTTCCCAATGAGAAGAAACTGAAAGGATTAACAAGTGATTTTAGTCAGCTTACAAGCATTTATGAGGCCTCTACTAGAGATAAGGCATTTGCAAGTCAAGGGGGTGTAGAGACAAGAGTAAAAACAAAAAAAGAAAAATACCTATTTTCAAAGGGGTTACATTCTAGCCAAAAGAGAAAACATAGTCACATAATAAGCAATACATTAAATTGGAGACAAAGGAGACAAAATATGATTTGGAGAAAGTCATTAACAGTTCTGGGTAGGGTGGAGGACAATAAAGACTTCATTTCAAGTGAGTTGAAAATGAAATGACAATAGGAATTCTGAGACATGGAAATGAGGAGAGATTACATTCCTGGAATGAGAGACAGTATTCCCCAAAGCACAAAAATGATAGATGGAGTTTGGAGCATGAAGAATGATGAGGTCTCTTTGGCTTTATTAAAAAGGTCATGAAGGTTAGTGAAGGATAATAAATATAGATATTTAGGCGATGCCCAAGGTGTGAATGTGTTAAATGCTTGTGAAGTTTATCTTTGACCAGAAAGATACCAGATTGTGATTCCAATTCGGCAAATAGGGAACTAACCTCCAGGTGTTGCACTTTGTGAAAATCCCTTGCACATCTTTGTGAGACTAGCAAATGCCAGAAGAGATGTGTAGGAGAAGAGCCATTAGGGGGCCATTTCGATACTCCATAGAAGGGGTTGCCAATTCTAATCAGGAAGTTTTGAGTGAGGAGAAAAAAAAGGAACGAGTGTAAAAAATTGCATTTTGGTAGAAATTACAAGTGTACAAATGATTAGATATATATCTTCATCAGAAACTAGATTAAATGGAAAGAGAATGGGCATTTAAATGAATAGTGCATTGAATATAGAAAAAGGGAAGGAGTAGATAAAACTTACATCTTCTGTTTTGTCAATATATTTTAAAGCAATGTCCTCAGGTGAGAATGTGGAGAATGAAATGAGGTTTTTAATAGGTACTCTGGAAAGAAGAATAAGCTATCACTTGGGAAGCAGTACATGGATTGCCTTGCAATAGTGAAAGCCCAATTGGGATGACATTTTCTAAATTTGCAGTAGTTTTATTTTATAATGCTTTATGACTTTCTTAAGTCAGGTTAATAGCACCTGAGTAGTATTTGAAGAAGTAGATACTGGGAGTAATGTGGAATTGTGGTTTGGCAAGGCTCAAATCGAAATCATTGGGACTGTGGGAAGGCACTTAATCACAGAATTACTACAATACAAAAGACAAATCATTGATGCATTTTTCAGGTTTTTTTTCATCCATCTATTGAATATATTTGTGAGTGTATGTGTGTGTATGTGGGTATGTATCTGTGTGCATATATGTGTGTGGATATGTGTATATACACATATATATTTGAACATAAACAAAAACTTTTACGTCCATCAATGTCCTAAGTGCTAGGGATCAAAATGAAAAAAAAAATCCTATTTATTTCTACCTTTTCTTTGATTGATAGGAAACTACCTACACTCAAACAATAATAAAAATACATAATATGTACGTAAAAATAAGTGCAGTGGAATTTCTGTGGGTTTAATTATAGTAACTAGAAAACTCAGGGAAAATTTCTTGTTGCAAGTGGTACTCAAGATCAGCTTTAAAGAAGCAAAACATTCTGAATATCCAAGAATATATGAAATAATCTTCAAAGCATGAGCAATTGTCTATGCAAATATATCATGAAAGGAAGTGTGATTTCATATATGAGGTGCAGCAAGTAAATCAGGTTGGAGTCAATGTAGATTCCTTGAAGGGGAGTGTTATGCAATAAGCCTACAAATGGAAATGAGGCTTGGGTCAGAGAATGAAAGGCTATTGGAATTCAGCAGATCAGTTGTTATTTTATCTTATAGGAATTGAGAACCTGGTGGTCTTCTTTGGGTCTGGAACAGAGGAATGATATGGGCACACACACCAATGTTTTCAAATGCTGTTGTGGCAGTGCTGCAAAGACTCAAACCATACATGACCGAGGTTAATCTCTATAAAATATAAGATAATGAATCTTCTGTCCTTTTATCTAAAATCTCCATTGAGGAAGATCCCACCACCTACCTCCCTTAGTTATGACCTGGAGAACTAAGCCAAAAAAATAATAAATCTTCCAAATCGATAAGCTTAGGTCAATGATAAGAGTCATCTTGTTGCCCTGGTTTTTTTTTTTTAACCACTCTGATTCATTCAAAATAACCTGCAGGTGACATTGACCAAAGGCCCCATTACCATGCTTCTTGCCGCTTTCCACTTTCTCTCCAACTTCTTGAATCATTTTCCACAAAGCTATGCCTAGAAATTAAGATAATAAATCAAATGGGGTCTGATTAGTGTCTTTTACTGAGAGACCATCACAGTCCTAGTGAAAGAAAATTCTTCTCTTTAAATCACTTACTAGTTCACTACAACCTTCCAATAATTTTCCCTGCAGTAACCACACTTCAGTCCTCATATTATGTTGTCATTTTGAAGGCAGAATGAAGAGCACATTTATCACTGTTAACTTTCTCTTTACTTGATCCACTTCCGTCCTTGAGTCTTCCAAGACTGTGTAGTGTTGTGAGTTTCTCACGCCGTATTTTATAAATCTCTCTTAGACCTGTGTCATCTGCAAATTTGATAAACTTTCTTCTGGTTCTTTACCCTAGTTCATGGCCTGCAAATGGCTTCTGATTAGATATTTGAGAGAAATTGTCTTATAGTTTATATTACATAGAAAGAAAAGAATTGAAAACAGTGCAATTAGTGAACCTTGTAAATGGTCTGATAGATATGGCACTTGTGGTCATTGTAAATTTATATAGTTTGGTGTTTTAGATATATTTTAATGTTATACTTTTGTGTGGCACAGCGACCCTAACCCAAATGAAACTCAGAGACTTCTCAAGGTGGAAAGCAGAGGTTACCTTTATTACAATCTTGCGAGATGGCTGTCTGCTCCTTTGATACACATGGAGAGAGAGAGAGAGGGAGAGAGAGAGAGAGAGAGAGAGAGAGAGAGAGAGAGAGAGAGAGAGAGAGAGAGAGAGGGAGAGCAGCATAACAGGGGCGCCTTATAAAAGCAAATCTCAACCCACCACGCAAAGTTTCCACCCACCATGCAAACAAGTCTCCACCCACCATTATCCCTTACCCCCTTAACTGGGGGTGGGCTTACATTCTAACTGGGAGGTGGGGCTTACAATCCAGCGGAGAAATTCAAAGACAAGGAAAGAGGCCGGAAGCCAAGGGCAAATGGCTCAGGTTGGGGTTGGGGCAGGGCTTATTTTTTTCTGTTACATGCTTAAAAACAGGGTCTGAGAGGGGAGGATTCTGAAAATAATAATCAAAAATTATTGACCTTTTGAGGAGGCTTCACCTCTGAGAGTTCATCTCTCACACTTTTAATGATAGAACTCCAATATGGAGTCACTTAGATCAAGTGGTCCTAAAACTCACCAAAGTATGTAAAGAAAGATAGACATTTTTACCTTTTCCCTTGGTAACTCGCTGTCAGGCAGATGAGGCTTGAAGCTTTGGATTGGATGACACTCTGGACTCATTGGAGTACTCTGAATTTGTTCTCTTTTCTGGTGCCTGAGATAGTGAACTTAGATCTTTCCCCCAATTTGGGGGTATAAAAATGCAGAAACTCCCACTATCCCAGCGAAGCCTAGCAGTGATCAGTGACCTTGAGAACTTCATCACATATGGGTCCAATAAGGAATATTTCTTCCCATATTTGTCATCCATAATCGGTTCTTCTCCCAGCTCATTCTTAGAGAATAAACTTTCTTTACCTGACCCTCAACCTTGAATGCATATAGAATATTTATGGATAGCCCCTATTTCTCTGTTTGCTGCACTGCTCATCAATAAAAATCTTTACTTTTTTAGCCTCCTGAACATCAGGTTTCTCTAAATTGTCAAAGCTAGGTCTTGCTTTAAACAATGCTGTGAGGCTAAATGAAACACAATTCTACCAACAAACCAGACAGTCAGAAATATGGATGATTATTTCATTATTCAGACAAATTAAAAACAACTTACTTTGTCTCTGGAACAATCCAGATTGGAGGACTTTGGAAGAAATATTTGTCATACGGTCCCGCTGACTTCTGATACAAGGAGAAGAAGCCCCCAATGACTAGGTCTCTTTCTTTTCTATAAGTGGGACTGTAAGCTCTTTCTATATGACAAGGACTCTTCCCCATGTGATACTCAAAAAGAGAAATCTGCAAAAGCAGGATCACAAATAACCTAGAGAACAAGAGCCCCAGTTTTCCCAGGCCCATGGCCAACATCCCAAATCTCTAAAGAGCCAAGCACTGTAGGATGACTAGGGGTTGTTGTTCGTGCATCTCTAGGCACATTCTCTGTTGCTAAAGATTTTTCTTTCCTAATAGATGCTCAAACTTTGAACAGTCCTTCTCCTTTGGCAACGTAGAATATGAGACATGCAGCAGGCCTGTTTAGGACAAAGGCAAAAGATAGAAAGGGCAGGGCATATTTACAGGACATTTTTGCCTCCTGGATATTATTCTCTGTGTTCTCTATGGCTGGATTAGGAAAAGAGGTCCATCTTCATGCATCTTGGGTGCAAGTCAAACAAATATGTTGACCAAAATCTGAGAGTGAGGTCCTGCCTCAAAGCTCTGCACCTGCTTCCTTAATCTTGGAAACCTCAAAAACTTAAGCATTAAAAAAAAAAGTTTGGGGATCTTCTTCCCTGCCTTCAGTCCCTGGAGCCTTCACAGCTTCCATGGGTTCTGAGATGCTCACAGGACCCTCTGATCTCTCTCAGTCTAGGTTTCTTGGGCCTTCCAATGTTCTACTTCCATTCTCCCCAAGCCAAATATCTTCACTGGCTCAAAATGACCGGTTGTTGCATCAGTCAGAGGACAGTGTGACCTGACAAGGGCAGGAAGTATGAATGACAGTGACAGGGCCTAGGCCCCCAATTTCCCAGGCCGAGATAAATTTTGCATTTGTCTTGCCCTTTTTTTTCCTTCTTTCTCTCCCTTCTCTCTCTTTCCTTTTTTCCACTGGCCCAGAGTCATATTCGACAACCAAGCATTTAAAAGTGCCTTCAGTGTGAGATTCTGCCACCCCCTATAGAGGGAGGAGAATGTGGCAGGAAGAGCCCTTTTCTGGGAAACGGACCATTTCCAGTCCAGGTTCCATCATTTATCAACTGCATGTCCTTGGAAAAGTCATTTCCCCTCTTTGAGATATAGAGGTCTACTATTATAAAGTGAGACTAAGACAAAGAAAAAAAAATTGCTTGCTCTTTTTAAGGGGCAGCTAGGTGGCTAAGTGGATGGAGCACCAGGCCTGGAGTGAGGAAGACCTGAGTTCAAATCTATCCTTGAACATAATTAGTTAGCTGTTTTAACCTGGGCAAGTTGCTTCACCCTGTTTGCCTCAGTTTCCTCACCTTTAAAATGGGCTGGAGATGGAAATGGCAAACCACCCTAGTATCTTTGCTAAGAAACCCCAAATAGGGTCATGAAGACTTGAACACAATGAACATTCTTTGTGAGGAAGGGGCACTGAAGAGACAGTGTGGGCAAATGGAAATAACCCAGACTTGAAGCAACTGAACCTGTGTTTAAATTCCAGTTCTGCTACATGTGTGACCTCTGGTTCTTTCTGTAAAAGGAACAGTTTAGATCAGAGGATCCCCAAAATTCTTTCCAATTGGAATTCCTATCACTAAGCTTTTATTGATATTAGGTAAATGCTTGGAGATTGATTGATGGATCCTAAGGTCTCTAAAGGTCTCTGTGCTTTACAAAATCTTCCTCATTCTTCCATAAAACCTTGTTCCTGAAAAACTTTTCTCTATTGCTGGCATTTAATATTCACAATTAAAAAGGAGAAATCCAGAAGTGGAGAACTGCTAGGTTCTTTCCCATGTTTTCTGCCTTCAAGAATATTTCTCACTTCTTGTCTTCATGCAAGAAACCCTGGAAGTACCCAATCAGCTTGTATTCCTCAGAGCATCTTAGTGTCAAATGCAGAGAAAGAGGAAAAGAAAATAGTAGGAAATAATATTTATCAAACTGAGCACTGAGTTAACTGTCTCAGACATTCACTAGCCATGTTTCTTAACAGTGTCTGGGGTTCGGTATTCTTTTCCATAAAATGATAGGATTGGGTTTGACTATTTCTGTGTAATGCATGTCTTTCTACCCATGTTCCCCTTAAGACAGGAAAAGATAGAGGAAACATGAGAAGGGAAGAGGTATGGGACTGGGGAAGTGAGATGTGGAAGGATGCTGAATAGAAGGAGCTGGACTGAACGGAAGCAAGGCTGGGATGGAAGTGGGAGCCAGAGAAGGAAGGGAGATTGCTCAGTGGGGGGTGAAACTCACCCAGGCCAGTCCTTGGGTCATCAGCCCAACTGGGAGGAGGGCTGAGCAATGGAGAACTCTCCACCCTTCAAGCTTCCAAAGCGCAGCTGCTATGGGGAATCTCCTCCCTCTCCCTCCTCCCTCCATCCATTTAGAAGGGAATAAAAAAAAATGTGTTTTTTTTTCTATCCCTATTACTGCTAATATTTTGGAAGTGTGATTCTCTTTTTATAGATGAGTTTGCACCCCTTGTCTACTGCCATGTTGCTACCTGTATCAGGGAGTGCATGGGAGGGGGGCCCTGAGTGGTTTTGTATTTCATAGATGATCTCGTTAGTACTCTGCAGATCTGGTCCTGGCTAGGTAAAAGAACTCTCTGGGTAGGACAGCTGTGTGGTGCGGTAGACAGAACACCAACCCTGGAGTAAAGAAGACCTCAGTTTAAATCAGATGTCAGACTCTTACTAGTTGTATGATCCTGGTCAAATCACTTAACCTGGACTGATATAAGAAACCAAAGCAAGACAAAACCTTCCTGGGTGCTATCAAGTCCTGGGTTATTTTTTCAAAGATTTGGTAACTCTCCCAAGCAGAACCCTAGCACTTGAAATTGGGGCTTACTTCATTTCCCCTAGAATAATGAGCTGATTGCTGCTTCTGGTGTTGCTGGGAGCTGGGATGTGCTTGTCCCAGAGGCTAAACTCCATCCCTTCCATCTGAAGGGATGGGGAAGTTAGGAGGAGCTAGAGAGAGCCTGGTTCCAAACTGGCCCCAAAGGGCAGGATCAGAGACCTGTGGGCTCCAGCCCTTTCTGTTTAGAAAGCACAGACACACCCCCCCCTTGTCCTCTAGCGTAACCCCTGTGGTTAGGTTAGAAAAGGGTAGGTTTCTAGTAATTCATTCTAAAGCCACCTGAAGAGAAGGTTGAGGATCCAGAGGGTCTGAGGCTGGAGCAGTTTAATCAATTAAGCAATCTATCAACATTTATTAAGCACCTACTATGTCCCTGTGTAGGACAGTTGTGAAAAATGTGTGAGACATTGTGAAGAACACTGGGGTTCAGAAGAGGATGAAAGAGTTTCAAAAGCAGGTCAAGCTCAGGGAATTTGAGCAGGATGATATCCGCTTAGAACACAGGAAAGCTGAGTTCAGGAAAGTTCTATGAGAAAAGGGATGCAGCTAAGCTGGGGATCAGGTTTCTGGAATAGCAGTAGAATCATCATTGGATTAAGGGAAGGACCTGGGCCCAGGATCCACTGGCTTCTGATTTCTCTGAGGAAAAGAGAAATAGGCGTAATTTCTTTGGTCTTGACCTGAGGATGTATGGTAGGATAAGTGAACTAGACAATGATTTTTAACAGCCTGGCCAGTGATGCGAGTCTGTGTGGATCTAAATCTAAAAGGAGGTTAGGCAGCCTCTCTGAGTATCCCCAGAGGTCCCCAGAGAAGGAATTCCAACTCTTTGTGTCTTGACCTGTCTTCCTACCTACCTGGGGTCAGTCCTGGAGAAGGATGAGGTAGAGCAGATGCAAGAGTGTAGAATGTGGATCCCAGGATTTTGGTGGATGATCACTGGACCCACTTCTATCAGCAGTGGTAGCAGAAATTCCCGAGGCTGGAGAACTTTCCTTGTGGCCCCCTTTGCTCCCCTTCATCTGCATGGGAGGGACTGTGTCCTGGTAGAAGGATTATTTCTTTGGAATCAAAGATTCAATCCCAGCTGTGCTACTTACAAGCTGTGTGACCTTGAGGTAGTCACTTTTCCTCTTTGGGCATCAGTTTCTTTATCTGCAAAGTAAGAGTTAGTGGACTCGATGTAATGTAATCGTCCCCTTCCTTTCTAAATCCACTCATTTTCATCCCTCCCTCTGCCCTTCTGTGACCTTGATCCTCATCATCCTGCCACAGTGGCTGATGCTTAGGGGAAGCTGAGGACAAAGGTGATCTAATGAAGGTTCTGCTGATACCGTCCAGTATATGCCCTGAAGGAATTAGTGGACTGTTCTCATGCCAGAAAAGGGAAGTGAGAAAGAGGCTATAACTGACTGAGGTTGCACTTTTATCAAAGATTTTCAAGAAAATGTAATCATTTTCCTGTCTTTAGTTGAGAAATATTGATTCCAAGAAAGTACCATTCATGGTGATGGGGAAGCTCATGATTTGAATGCCAAAATCCATTCCTGGAAACTTATCCTCAGCATCTGAGACCTGAATCACCAACACTTCTTTGTGAATTTCATCAGTTGGGACTTCTTGCACATAGGGAGAGAAAAGCATTGTGAGTGACCCACAAAGTCAACAGAAACTAACCTCATAAATCCCAGGTTGGAATGCCTGGGGAAGCTGGCACTGGCAGACAGGTGCAGATGATGCTTTCCCCAGCCCCAGCTTCTCAGCACAAACTTTGTCAGCCTGCCCTCCCACCCTCCCTGGTTGGTCCCTGCTTTTCTCCTTTGGAGCAAACAGAAGACTCTTCTCCTGCTCTTCTCCTCCACAGGGATGTTGTGCCTGCTTCATCAAAGAAGAGATGATGGTTTGTGTTGATAGGAAAGCACCAAAGTGGTTAGCAGACTTCCGCTGCATAGTATGGACCTGCCAATTAGCCTCCAATCAGGACAACAGGCTATGATGCCCAAGTGTAGGAGGGAGATATCAATAATCCAGGAGGGCTGTATGCCAGAGGAGAAGTTGTGTCTTCCTTGCATGCTCTCTCTGAAGCTTGCACAGTTTCTTTAAAGTCCAGTCCAAGCCTTCTGCTTGCATGTCATGCATAAAGGCACATGGGACTGTGGGTACCATCTGGCATCAGGTACTTACCCTGCTCTGGTAACAATAGGTCACATGACACCCATATCCTGAAAGGGAGATGGTGATGGTGAATTCCAAGATGGTGAAATCTAGCAATCATCCATTGATACTTGAGAAACAAAATAGGGGGT